GCAATTTGGTTTCAAGTAGAACATAAGGTTGACGGAAACCCGAGGACTGCGCCTACCTGATGAGCTCCAAGAAGGGCGAAACCGGTCGTGGGCTGTCGATGGATTTTCAGCAACCTTATGAGTAGTACATTACAAAGATATACATGTGTCGCGATATTTCAAATATCGTAGCGACTCAAACATGAGGCGGCCTGGTGCAGCACATTCAGTTGCCTGAGAACATCATAAACGAGAGATTCAGCTGGGTTTTCTGGTGAGTCTCTCGGAAGAACCAAATTAGTTTGTAAATGAGTGTATATTCGCTACTTGATACCCGTTTGTTGTCGATGCAGAATGCACCCCTTTCCTTGTACTCTTTCGTTGCATAGTGCCGTGCAACTCGGATGAGTCACAAAGTCTGAGATTGTTGAAGGTTGGACGGGAGCAAGCGCCTTAAACGCTGAACTACCTTGAGGTCGACCTTTTGCGAGTCAATGCCATGTTTACTTTACCGTTTCGGTGGCGTTCAGGACCGGATTTCTCAGCCCATCAAGACAGTCGGTATGTAGAAGCCTCGTAGAAAAATGGAAACTAGTAAAAGGCCGCAGGTGAATTATGGTGATGCAAAGTAATCGGAGCCGTGTCGCCATTATGAAGAATTACCCGCATTCTACTGTGCTTCTGTGTTATAATCTGAGCGGGATTCCCGCATCAGAACAACGGGATTCTTTGGGAGGTATTGATGCGGATGAAGGTGCCCCTTGAAATATTACCCCAAGGAACAAAAAGCAACTGTTTTAATATGCAAAAAACGCTTTCGCATATGGAAGGCTGTTCGTGGACGGCGTTCAGAGTTTATTAAACATTATCTAGAGTATCTACACATCTTGGCTTGTATTTTCACATGGATGGTCGGTGCAGTTTTATTTCGCTCTTTTTTAAATGCATCTCTCTACGTCAACCTTGCCTGATTGACTTCATTTTCCTCAATTCCGTGAGAAAATAATCTAGTTTGACGAGAATTAATCCCAGAATTCATACTAAGGTTACCTGGTGGCACTGTTGCAAAAATGAGTCCGGAACTAAAAGTCTTCACCACAGGGACCTTTGCTTCTTTCGGATTAATCAATTTGACGTTGTTGCGTTCGACCATGGACGAAAGGTTTTCGAGATCTGACCACTGTTCACAGTTGGTCGACATGTCTCAGTGGTTAGAGCGCGAATTTACTGACCGAAAGGTCCACGACCTCTGCCTCTCGACTCCCTGTCTAGACAGTATCCCAGTGATTCCTTTGGTTGGCATGGCAGCTAGACACCGAAAGGGCGCTACAGCTGGGCGATTTTTTTATTTCTGATTCTGGTCAATTTCAAGGAACATGGTATTGACGTCATGAAGAGACTGGACCTTACCGTGGTGTGACGGTTTGCGCACCTCAGCGATCCATTGAGCTATACTGGAGAGTGTCCCGCGACAGTCACAGTCTCTCATACCAGGTTGGTCAATGTTTAGAGGTCTGACGAACACAGTCTCCTGGCCCTCCAGGTTGGGGGTTGGAATATGTGGCGACTTATTCCGTAGAAATGGTAATGCATTTGCATTTCCCGCCAAACATCGCTGCCTTGCTGTTAGACTTTTGAGCCAAAGGCTTTGGTTGAGGACCCTAATCGTCCTCCTGTCTAGGTGTGGGTGCCTGGCAGTATGCCAGCCCACGTACAACCACGAATTTACCCAAATAAGCTCATGCCACATCGGCCGTCACGTGGTGACATCAGTCGGGTCGCCTTACTTGCTGCATATGGCAGGGCGGGTAAGCGAAAACAGGCTACTGCTGACGCCTCCCTTCTTTCTCCTTCACATTCTGACGAAAACAACGCTTTTGGATAGAAATGGGAAGCTTAACTCCTGGGGTTTGGAACATGTTAAATACCCGCATTCGCACACCCTTCTCAACATGACAGTTGTGCAAAGCGACAGGTGAAAATTAGCTCGACAAACGCATCGTTAGGTCAAGGAAATCAAAAGGAATTTGCAGTTCAAATGTCCTCTAATTGCATTAAAACATATGAAACTACCAAACACCTTAATTTCCTCCGTCCGGGTTTTGATATCACTCCTGTTACTCACGTATTATTCCGCAATTTCCCCCAGGAATTGCTAACGGCACCAAAAACGAGCAGGGTAGGCAGTGAGGGTGTTTGTTTTAGACACATTTTCACATCAGAACACAAGCAAACAGAGACAGTCTCGCAGCAGAGCGAGGAGTTCTGATTGCTGCCAGTACCTTTAACATATGCGCTCACCGACACATGCTAGTAGTATCGGTGAAACTACTGGTGGGGAGGCACGCGAGTAGTGTGTGCTGTTCGTAGAATTTCTCCTTGCGTCTATTGAAAAAGGGAGATCTGTTGCGGAATTCGTGGAGCCACTTTGTAACATTTGCTTGGATTTGACCGACAAATGA